TAGGGAGCGCGCACAATGAACTCCCTGTAGGTACCAGAAATCTTGATCCGGTCACCCACGATGCAGTCGTACTCCCTGACACGAAAGCATTTTAACTGCACCCTGGGGCATATACATTTATTCAGGTCATGGACTGGAAGTGGCACAAATGCAGGTTGCTGAATGGTTGAACGACAATGATTCTTCAGCCAAACGTCGGTCGCCGTTGCCGACAGACCCAAAGGACAACATGTACACATCCAACTGTTCGGTGCGCTCTTCCCAAAAACGCTCAGGCACCGCACCCCTGGGTGCACTCCCGCGTGAGGGCATCTGGGTCAGGGTTCCTGCAAGTCGCTACCAAATGACCCTCTCATATCCATTGACCAATGTTTAGGGCGACAGCTCAGCCAGCACATGGCTCATTCCACAGCACCGACTCATTGTCAGCCACTCGCCCAATTGAATCTGTGGCAATAAATGCGCTTGCCACCCAAGGCTCCTCTCATCGGTATATCTGACACGCCCGCCGAGCACACGACCTTGTCAACTGCAGGCTTAGAGAGCGTGAGGAAACTCTGACAGATTCACAGGCAACCCGGCACAGAAGTACTGTGTACAAACCGTCGTCCTCCTGCTTTGCATATTCATCTGCCTGCGTACGCGTGCAGCCATAATTACGCATGAGACCAGTTGTGCCACATTCCGTGCCTTGGTGATGGATTCTGCAAGGTAAGAGCCTCGGCCTGGGCAAAACTATTTGATCATGCACAAAGCACTGCTTCAATTAGGATCAGTGGGTAAACTCGATTGTCAGCATTTTGATTGACTCACTCCACGCTAAATTGAAGGGGGGCCAATTGTGGGAAACCATGGTATGCCTTTGAGAGGAAAATGAACCTATTGCTGCCAAGGCGCCATACAGCGTGCCAGTGGCACTACCAGCCAGCCGCATTTTGAAGTCTGACCTGCTCCGCTCCATTCAACGCGGCTTGCGAAGGGTATGACGTCCGCCTGCAAATATTCTCCGCGGCAGATGAACTTGTGCCATGCCATAAGTACCACCTCGGCAGAATGGCATTCATGATCTTTGCTACATGGGACAAAAGCCCGGTGCCCCTTGCCCTCCCCCAAGAATGTACGCAAACCGGGATATTCTGGGCCCTAACATTGTGACAACCTCTCTTTGGAGCAACCCGTAGGGGTGCCTTAGGAAGGCTGTGGGAAGCGTGCAGGCAAAACACACGCACACACACACAGTGGAGGGGGTGCACTTCCTGCTGGCTCCGGGTCCGCCCCCTCAAAAAATCATCAACAAGGTTTTCAGGGTAGATGCACTTGCCGGCGGCACGCTTCATTTGATGTTAGGCACCCCTATCTGCAACTATTGAGGACAGCGCTCATTGATTTCAGTGTCCAGCTGGTCGCCATAGGTTTCCCACACCCTAGTTGTCTTCACATCATCGAAGATCTGGCATCAGCACGGCGCTGCCCTCCACAACAAAGTTGCATTCCCACCAACGAAGTGTCAACTACCAGTCGCTAATGCTTCAGGCAGAGGCCTTTTTGGGGCACAGAGCGCATCCCTGGAAATGGCAAGGGGCACCTTAACCTTCTGCTGGTTAATCCAAAGTCTGCCAGCCGCGCCCGCCATGCAAACTCCGGGCTATCAGCGACCTCCTTCTTCTCCTCGCAAGGTGAGTCAAAGGGCCTGGGCGCCTAACGAAAACTGCTTCTTGCTCACATGAACCTTTCCGGATTTTATCCTGAAATCCGTCCGCTGCGCCAAAACGAAACATTCCAAGTGTCCTGCTGCAGCTCTGCTTTTCTTACGCTGTACCTTAGGCCCATAAGCAAACACCGGCCCAAAGCAACACGTTTGGGACACCAAAAGCCGCCCTCTCAAACTCAGCCCCTTCTTTCTCTTTGAATGGGACAATGCTCGATATCTTGATAAACTGGCAGCTTAAAACATATCAACCACTGAATGTTGCGCCAGTCACTCTCCTTGATTAATTAGTCTGTTGTCTGTTGTTCTTGTGCGGTGCACGATTGTTGCCTTGGCGTATGTTCTGCATCTTCTTGGCTGCCGCCATGTCATGGGGTAAAGGGACTGCATCCCAAGCAGCTGCGAAGCATCACAACCAAAAACAGGGTGAGTGACTTTCGGCTTTGGATGCGGGGAACGAGGAGTCTGCGTTGAGGGAAGCCCGTTTGGGCCCGGATGCGACAAACGCATCTCTGATGGTTCCCGCCAACCTAGCCAAGCACAGCTGAGCTTACCGCCAACCGGCCAGTGAATCAATGAAAAAATGTGAATGAGTGAGAGGGGAGTGAAAGTGTGAGTAAACGAATGAGTGAAGAGGAAATAATGAATGAATAAATTAATGAATGAATGAATGAATAAATGAATGAATGCATGAATGCATGAATGAATGGATGGATGAATGGATGAAATGAAATGAAATGAAATGACATGAAATCAAATGAATGAATTACAATGAATTAATGAATGACATTAAACGACATGAAATGACATGCACACTGAAAGCATGCATGTATGAAATGAATAAACAAAAAGAAAGTATACCTATCAATCACCAAGCAGTCAGTCAATCAACCTAGATCAATGAAATGAACCAATAAAAGAAAAGCATTCACTCAGTCCATCATTCAATGAACGAAGCAGCCAACCAACCAGCCAACCAACCAATCAACCAATCAATCAATCCCAATGAGTCCAAGAATGTTAAATCAAACCAAAACAAATCATATGAACTCAAGCAATCAACCAACCAACCAACCAACCAACCAACCAACCAACCAACCAACCAACCAATCACTCGACCAACCAACCACGCAACCAACCAACCAAGCAACCAGGCAATCAATCAATCAACCAATCAACCATTCAATCTATCAATAACTCAATCCATCCCTCAACCCATCAACCAACCAACCAACCAGCCAACCAATCAGTCACCCGTTGGATAACCCAAACAACCATCCAAGCAACCAGCCAACCATGCAAGCACCCAACCAGTCAACCAATCCGACCTAAACCAATCTATCCAACCATGCATCCATGGAATCAAACAAGTCAAAACAATTGAAACAAGACCAGGTAAAATCAAATCAAGTCCGATGAAGTGAAATCAAATGAAAGCAAAACCATTCACCAACAAACGAGCCAAGCAACCAACCAACCAACCAATCATCCAATAAACCAGCCAGTCAGAAGGTCAATCAATCAGACAAGCCAACCAATCAGCCAACCAACCAACCAACCAACGAACCAACCAACCCACCAACCCACCAACCCACCAACCCATCAACCCATCAACCCATCAACCCATCAACCAAACCATCAAGCAACCCGCCAGTCAGCCAATCAAGCTACCAATCAAACAAATCAATGCATGAATCAACCGACCAACCAAACAATCAATCAATCGATCGATCAATCGATCAATCGATCAATCAATCAATCAACCAACCAACCAATCAAATCAAATCAAATCAAACAATCAATCAATCAATGAATCAACCAATCAATAAATCAAATCAAATCAAATCAATCAATCAATGAATCAAACAATCAATCATTCAAATAATTCATTATTTATTCAACAATTTGTTTATTAATTCATTAATTCATTCATTCATGCATTAATTTCCTTGCATTAATTCCATGCATTCGATTTATTCCATTCATCCCATTTATCCCATTCACCCCAGTCTCCCAATCATCACATTCATGCCACTCATTAATTCATTCATTCCTTCCTTCCTTACTTTGTTCATTCCTCCTGTATCCCTTCATTCAGTCAGTCATGCATTTGTTCATTCATTTCATTCACTCACTCATTCATTCATTCGTTCATTCAGTCATTGTTTCCTTCATTCAGTCATTTCATACTAGTTCATGTCATGGCATTTCATGTCATTTCATTCATTCATTTCACTTCATTGCACCTCATGCCATGTCACTTCACCTCATGTCATGTCATGGCATTCGTTCATCTTATTCATAATTTTATCGTGAATTTCATTTCATGTCATTGCATTTGAGTTGATTTGTTCATTCATTCATTCATTCATTCATTCATTCATTCATTCATTCATTCATTCATTCATTCATTCATTCATTCATTCATTCATTCATTCATTCATTCATTCATTCATTCATTCATTCATTCATTCATTCATTCATTCATTCATTCATTATTTCACTCACTCACTCACTCACTCATTCATTCATTCATTCATTAATTCATTCATTCATTAATTTCGTTCATGTCAATTCATTGCTCATGTATTCCTTCCTTCCTTCCTTCCTTCCTTCCTTCCTTCCTTCATTAGTTCATTCGCTAACTCATTCATTCATTCATTGATTTATTCATCTCACTCATTTCATTTCATTTGGTGTCATTTCGTGTCATTTCATTTCATTCAGTCATTCCATTCATTCCATTCAATAATTGATTCATTCGTTAGTTAAGTCATAATACATACCTACATTCATTCATTCATTCATTCATTCATTCATTCATTCATTCATTCATTCATTCATTCATTCATTCATTCATTAGTTCATTCATTTGTTCATTCATTCATTCTTTCACTCATTCATTTGTTCATTCATTCATTCTTTCACTCATTCATTTCATTTCATTTCATTCATTCATCCATCCATCTTTCCAGCCATCTATCCATCCATCCGTCCATTCATTCATTTGCTCGTTCGTTCATTCATCTCATTAACTAGTCACATTAATAGCATTCATCTCACTAATCTCACTTCATGTCATTTCATCTCGTGTCATTTTATTTCATTCAGTCATTCATCCATTTCAGTTGTTTCTTTCATTCAATGAACCAATCACATCAGGTTGGTAAATGTGAGGGTGCAAGCACTGCAAAAGGCCAGGGTCACCCCCTTAACTGCATAATATGCATAAAACTGGGGTTTATAGATCCAGAGCGTTCATCTGACAATTGAACTCGGTGCTGCATTTGTTCGATCTCGCTTCCCACACCCTCTCCAGTGGGACATCTTACAATCTTCGGCGAAGCATGGCATTGTGCCTCACTGCACCCTTGCACTGAAGCAAAGCCCGAGGCTTCTCAGGTGCACCTAGCCGCATCTGCAGCGCCAGCTGGGCATCGCAGAGCTGGGCTCTAATTCTCCGCGACCTTTTGAGTCTATGCCACCGTTGCCTTGGCTGCCTCTATGCTCTCCGGTGTCGGCATGCAAAAGCCGAGCTTGGCGGAGGCATCTTTGACGCTGGCAGAGACGGCAGAGTACATTCCCACGGTGAAAAAAACTACAGAGAAGCGCTCCCCTTTGAAGGGTCTGACCTCATGCGCCTTTGTTCCGTCGAAGTAGTGGGGCTTCTGATCCACGTTCAGCACTTGGCACTCCTGCGTCACGGGTTCTTTGGCTGTGAATGTTAGCTGCATAGTGTCGACTAGAGAGGTGTGCAAGCAGGCAACATATTCAGCACTGAGAAGCGTCTAAGCATGGCTCCGAAATAACCTGAATCGCTTTCCAAGCTCAACCGTACGTAGACGATTGGACTGGCCTTCAGCAACCCATGGGGGTCTGACAGGTCTAGACCAGCATTTTGGCCAGGGCTCGAAAACGGCCACATCTTCAATCACAATGCCGACAGGTGACAACATGTGACCCGCCAGTCGCCCGTACCCAGAGCTTTGTGAGGCCAGCTCCTGCCGGGGCAAGTCCTTCACATCGCCGCATCTCTCATCTTTGGGCCAATACAAGAGCTGCCCGCCCCTGTAGCGGCCGAAGGCTTTGATGGCGCTGGGGCCCACATTGTTTCTGTCCCGGTGCCTGGCAGCCGCATAGTTGACGTTCACTGAGATGGAGGTGAACGGGAAGTTGCCTGAAAGAGGGTTTGGGACAAAATGTAAGGAGCATTGGAAATTGGAAATCATGCAGTGCTTAATACCGGCTGATGCCCGAGCTGAATCAAGAACGTCCACACCTTTGCACTATACTTCCGAAAGCGCAGTGAATGAGAAACAGTTGTGAACTTCAGGTGTGCATGCTGGCAAATTGTCGCACAATGTTCGACGCACCCCAGTCAACAACCTTTGAACCGCAAATACGGACAAGGACCGTACCGACAATCGACATAGCTTGCTACGAATGCCCCAACAATCCCGCTGCACTGGTGCCCCGGAGTGTGCTACTTAACCAAAAAATGCTGGCATTTGCTCCCTGCGTCCCAGCTGCCCAACGTCCTGCGACACCACGCTGTAAGGAGCTTGGTCATGTTGGGGTACTTACCTTGGCTGGGCAACCAACTTGGAAGCTACAATTGCAGTATTGGATGCAGAGCTTTGCAGAGGCCGTTTTGCTTGCCGGACCTCATGGCAGGGTTTGCCATTAGGCCAACGCAGCGAGCCGGCGCAAATCCAACCAACAGCACACGCATCAACATGCCGACATCATACTCATGACATATGTCCAAACATCATGACATCGTGACAGGTGATCCAAGAAAGCTGGGAGCAGTGCGCACCAGGAATGAAGGATGGAATCTGGCATCCAAAAAGAGTTCCAACGTGGCCAGCTTAGAAATGTCTGAAATCCTGGCGCCCGAACTTCTCCAGGCTGCGGCTCAAAGCTCCCAAGGTGGGCTGCCTGCTTTGCCGGGACCTGCGTCGCGTCTCGAGTTGGCACCAAGAAAATTCAAGAAAGCCAGATGCGGATGGCCACGCCACATTGCCCACGGTCCACGCCTCACCAGGCCAAACGTGTCGCTGAAGACAGGGCGCTTAGCCTTGCCCTTACGCATGACGTTCTTCCGCGCCGTGTTCTCCTCGGCCAAGATCCCTTGAAGGACATCAATTCAAGACATTCCAAGAAGAGATTGCCAGCCGGGGCCTGGAGGTGACAATTTGTGCAACTGTCTGGGTCGGAGGTGTAAGATTCTGTGACCCTGGGCCTTGAGATGGTTATGCTGAGGTTCCTATGGGAAGGAAACTGAGGCAATATCCATGTTCATCCGCTGTGCATGCAATTACCCGGCCGGCTTCTGATTGTCAATCAAGGCGACAACTGGCATGCTCCCTGCAAGTCAACATTTCACTCCGGGAGGTGCAAGGCTATCACCACATAATCCAAGAGCTTGTGATCAGAAGGGACAACCACAGCGTTTGTCTGACAGTGTGCAATTTGGCAATTGGCCGTGGCCTGTCCTTCGCTGCCCAGGCTTTCCTTAGTGGCACAGATCAACATGGCAAGCTTCTGCAACTTACGGGTGGAAGAGTGTGAGAATGTGTCCGAGCAACGTGCGACATTCTGGCTTCTTGAAGGGGCCCAGCCCACAAGGCAGGAAGACTGCATCATGGACCCATGGGTGCGCTCGTGCTCGCGCGCTCGTGCTGGTGCAGGTTTTGTCGCTCAGAACAGTTTATAGCTTATTGGATCCAGCCGAACTATTGCCGAATTCTTGTCCAGCATTGCCTTACAAACTCTAAAGTAGTATTACCCAAAACATCCCAAAACTCATCCAGACCCTCGAAACAAATGTGGTGAACAGTCGTGTGTTGTTTAGTTTGTTGACCTTGGCACGGGGGCAATTAATCAGATGTTGACATTGGCTTGGCAGTTCAACAGTGGACGCCGCGAGATGGCAAGAATTAGTCAAAAGAGACAAGGATCTTGGACAAACGAACAAGCGGGGATACGGAGGGAGCGGGGATATGGGGGGATTCCCTTGGCGCCATTTCCCATATCAAACTTAGTCAAGGTGCATTTAGGGGGAAGTCGCCCGCATCCCTGGTTCCCCCTGTATCCCTGCTAGTTGGCCTCCCTGAAGGATCTTTGCCCCACGCTAGCACGTTGAAGAACAAACAAGCACTGAAGGATCTTTGCCCCACGCTAGCACGTTGAAGAACAAACAAGTAACAAGCACGGCGCTCCCCTTCTGTCTTGGGACCCAATGCACACGTCCCAAACCGAACCGCTTCGAGGCGCAGCACCAAAAGAAGCTCCTCATCTCCCACGGAACCCTCGCGCTGCAGCTCTCCTGCCAAATGATCGGCGATCCGCCGCCGCCTCGACGCCTCCTCGTCCACCTTGCGGCCCCCCCTGACCTTGGGCGGTCGCACCCACTTGGGCTGGTCCTCCACCACCTTGCGCTTCCTCAGGGAGAAGCATGAGACAACTGCGGCCTGAATTCAATTCATAGAAGAGTCCTTCCAATGCGGAACATCTGTTTGTTTGTCGTTGCTCGTTCCAGTGGGAGGGTCGTGCAATGTCACGTCATGCAGCTAAGTCAAACCCAACTTGATCAAGCAAAGAATTGCCATGAAGGACAATGTGCCGAACCGTGTCAACACCCAAGGATGTTTGAATGCAGCCAACTGGAGTCGACACCCGCTGCAAAGGGAACTTGGCTAACACCCTAATCTCGCTCAGACGGTCAACAATGTTACAAGCAATTCTATATCATGTTCACGCTTGCCTTGACAGCCACCAAAGCGGCTAGACACACCTTTGGGGTGCAAATCAACTTCAGTCAGTAGCCAAGAACTAGCTCACCATAGCGATAGCACACTCGCGTACATACCCCTGCAGCCTGTAACCCTTTGAAGTCCATGTTAGGAAACAAGGTCAAGCAAAGTGCGCTTAATGTCCAAACGCATGTCTAATCTCGACCATATTTAACCGATACAATTGATACAACTGCAACTGTATCCTGGAAGCACTCTGCCGAGTTGCTTAACAGATACAATCTTGTATAGACAGTTTGGTATTATGATGGACATTGATGGACCCAACCCACAGCCTGCTCAAGGCCGCTTGAAGGGCCACGGGCTTGAAGAGCTCCGGCTTCTTCCTTGCAAACTTCAGGCCGACGGCACCATCAGCGTGTCTGAAGATTGACGGCGCATGCCAGACTTGGTGTGGGAGTTGAGCAATTACACTTAATTCTTGCGAAGCTACACTCGCAGTCTGGAATGAAGGGTTTGATGAGAGCCCTGTTTCGCACATTCACTACATAGTCCACGAGTCCACCAGCGCCGATCAAAGAACCAAACGGCAATCCGAGCATCAGCTTGGCGTGAAGCTGCTCGCGCCGTTTCGGGGATGCGCAGCGGAGCTCGAGCTCTGCGGTGGTATAGACGCTGCCCAGCTCCAGACCCATGCCGAGGTGTGGGTACGACAGCACCTGGCTGATTCTCGGGTGCCATTGTCTGAATCCGCTGGCCACCCTCAATTTCCTCCTTGTGAAAGCCCTTTGAGCGTCCAAAACATCTGGTGGAGTACCTAATGCCCGCTTGCAGCCTGATTTGATGTCCTCATAAAGCTAGTCTTGTGGTAAAGGCACTGCAAAGAAGCATACGTAACCAGAAGCAAGGTCGTCCTGCTATCGTTTACCCAGGTGACTCTTTCTGTTTGAAAGATCTTAACGAAGGGGCAACGTGAATGTCAGCAATTGGGCAACAACTACAGCATCAACTATCGAACACCTGGCCTGGTAGGCTAAGGCCACCATGCTGCCAGCTGCGGCTATTCAAAGCTCTGAAGGGATCGGCTAGCTTAAGCAACAAGGTTTGCAATCTAAACTGCCGCTGTGGCGGTCAAATCTTGAAATGCCGCAACTCTGAAGCTGTCGTGTCTAGGTGCCATGTCTCCGGCACGTCTCCTCATGCTTGATTGGAAGGGTATCTACATGCCCTGGCCCAAGAAACAGCTAGCGCAAGGTCGGCGCACGGCTGATGCAGGGCAGTTTGGACGTTGATTGAATTTGCACTTATGGTAAACTTACGGTAACCACTCTTCTCGGGACACGCTACGAGGATATTTGCTGCTGTATTGGGCAAAAACAAGATGGTCTGCTTTCTGTCAAAGCTCCAGAATTCTTCGGATACATCCAAAATGCATCTACATGACCCGGGAGTTCTGGTCGCGTTGATGGCGTAGACGTCAAATTCAACATTGTCATGCAAATACTGTCGCCTCCAAGCAAACAACGCATGCAATTGCACTCAATGAGAAACTTCCCGCGGAATGTTGTGCACGTGCCACACAAGCTGGCTCTGTTCTGGGCCCATGACAGCCATATGTGCATGCATGGCTGGCGCCAGGAATTGTCAGAGCATTGTGCCAAAGTAAACTAATGATTTCTGTCATTTTTCCCCAACATCTGAAAGCATTGGGGTCTCAGCCCGGGTAGGCTCCGGGGTGGTCCGGGGTGGCCCTGAAGTAAGGTTCAATCAGGGTTCCACCAGGGTTTTACGAGGGTTTTACGAGGTTCTGCGAGGGCTGCGGGGTGGTGCGAGCACTAAAAGAGCACTGCATGCTGTTGGGGATATCACCTGGGCTCATTTCAGAGTTGGAGCACAGTTTTTTGGAATCAGCAAAGATGCAAATCAGTGCTAGTGCTGACATGGTTTGTCGCAAACAAATATCAGAACACCAAGCAACGCTGACTCCCTCATCGGATACGTGGCAGGCTTGGGATGTTTGCCTAAAAGACCTGCCAGGTCGCTCTAAGACTCACTCCTCCCTTTGCTGAAAGCACAGGGCCATCATCCCAACAATATGCAATGCTCTTACTTATCATTGGGAGGTTCGAAGTGAACAACAAAGTGCTAGATTGTGTGGCACGATCTGTCTGGCACATCTTTGAGTAAGCGCCGCGCTTGCGCCAAAGCTTGCTGTTCTCGTTCCGCCAGGCCTTTGATTTCTTTGCAGCGCATTAGTTGGCGGAGGGAAAGCGGATTGGCCCTGCACCGTCACAGCTGTCAAGAAGTTGCCTTTAATTTAAGCAGTTTCCCTCACGCATAATTACATCCTTCATGATTCATGGTCTGCACAAATCACAGCCAAGAGATGCTGAAAGCCAGGAGCTGAGGTAAGGTCTGAAACGATCGTGAAGTCCCTTGGCCTAAGCAGCGGATCGCATTGAGGAAGCGGGATGTGCTTGCCATGGCAAAGTATCAGTTTTGTGGGCCCTCTTGTTTCCAATGGACGTCCAACCTGCTTCGAGTACAAGACTCAGCCTCCGATCAAAGCAGCTGGAACGGTTTAATACATTGTACAGTTTAATACAACATGAACAGCGACATCAGAAATAGGTGCTTCGGTGGTCGTGGCTCCAAGGCTATGACACCATCCAGCTACCAGAGTGACGCTGTCGGTCTCTAGTGGTAACATCCTGGGCTGACCAATTCAATCGCACCAGTGCAGGGCGAGGCATCAAAAAACAATTTGTTGGGCATCAAAACAAAATCAAGAAACAACTTATGTAAGGCATCAACCAAACTTTTTGGCACGAGTGCACCGCCAAACGCGGTAAAACCAAAAACCTGGAAACAGCACCGTCAAAACGAAACTTGTTAGGCGTCAAACAAAATTAGCGGCACGTGCTGCAGAACGTGGCAAAAACCCTGAAGACCACGTCATCAACAGGAAAACATGTGGGCATCAAAAACTGTTTTACAGGATGGCACATATACATGTTGCAAAATGTAGTGTCCAAATCATGCCAATACTGCGCGCATACGACAAACGGTGTGAATGCGTTGAAAGATGCGCTGCGAAGTGACCAAGCACAGGACAAATGCAGCAACAATGCTTGCAACACTCTGCACATTTATTCCAACTGAGTGCAAGAGCAGGGGCAGCGTTGGAAAAAGGGCATCTACATACATCTTCAGGAAAATGCTAACACACGCAAACAATGCGAGCAAGCAACCAATTAATTAGGCATAACAGTATAACATGACAATTGCAGATTGGGAAGCACAAACTGCCGCATCAGAGTAGAGCAAGCACAAACAACCGCAACCGCCACAGCCAAATAAGCACTAGCGCGCCACAACAAAAACAGGCGGGAGGGGGACTTTTGGGGGGGAGGCGCACCCCCGTTGCAGCAAAGCAAGCAACCGGATCAGCCAGGTGAGTAGCGAGCAGCGAAAAAGAGGTCAGGAGAGCAACAGCAAAAAAACAAAACAAATCCTAAAACTTTTCAAACATGTATTTTCAGTTCCCTGTATCTTTGTCTGATGCCTAACAATCCTTTTGTGCGTGGCTCGGGAATGCCCTGCGATGCTAGCGTTATGCTAGGGTCTTTCCTTTGTGCAGGGGAGCTACCTCTCAGCTTGTCCGTACGCTTCTTTCCAAAGGGTCCGTAACAAATGTCAAACAAAGCCTGCGTGTTTGAACTTGCTTGGAATAAGGGGGGCCTCGCGCGTCGCAAAACGCTGGGCCCTGGCAGAGTAGGTTGCACTGATGAGGTCCTGAAGCCTGGGGCAAACCAGCTGGAACGGCAGCTCAGAATGTGGCAAGAGTGTGCTGTCGTTTGCTGCTGAAGCCAAAAGAACGCAAAATGGCATATCTCACGTGGACTCAGGAGAAGAACAAGCTGACGTAACAAGAAAAAAACATGTCATAAATACTGAGGTCTTCCCATCAAGGCCCAGGCAACCGAAGCATATCCTCTGCCAACTGCGGGAGCTCGGAAAACCTGGGCCGTGTGTCTGGTTGCCTGCATGTGCGTTGACTGAAAGCCGAGCTGCTGTTTGAAGGGCCAAGCCCTGCGTCGATCTATGCCAAGGCAGGCATGCCCAACACACCAAGTGCCAGTAAGACGTCTGCATGCGTCTACTCATTGTGGTATTGCCAACATGCTCAGCATCAAATATCAGCCATCATCATATTCGCCACCAACATCATCAAGCCAAGCATCGCCACCTCATCACAACACAAACATGTTTGTGAAGGATGCGGTAAACTGTTTCTATTCCGCAGGAGTGCGCTTGACCGATGTTTCAACTAAAGAACAGAGGCGGACCAACATGGGTTGAAAAAAAACCCGTGGACAACCCTTGTATCCTTATGCCTCAGTATCGGTCAGTATCGGTTTTTTTCCTCTGCATCGGTTTGCAGTGTTTTGGCAGCTCTGGCTCGAAAGTCGCGACTTTTCCGTACAAGTGTAGTATGCGAAGTACACTCTGCCAGCTCCCAGCTCCAGCTGGAAATCGCAACTTTTCAGTACAAGTGTAGCACACAAAGTACATTTTGGCAGCTCCAGCTGGAAAGTAGCAACTTTTCAGTAGTATGCGCAGGACACTTTGGCAGCTCCAGCTCGAAAGTCGCAGCTTTTCAGTGCAAGCAAGTGTAGTATGGTGTAGTATACGAAGTACATTTTGGCAGCTCCACAGCGGCAGTCGCAACTTTTCAGTACAAATGTAGTACACAAAGTACATGTTGGCAGCTCCAGAGAAGGCTGCAGGGCAGCTGGTTGGATTCGGCATGGCGGCCCATGAGTTGGGTATCGGTTGGGTATCGGTTTGGGTATCGGTTTGGGCCCTGCAAATTTATGATTCCGCAATCTTGGTTTGCGACAGCAACTAGGATCTGATGTGTGTCTTCATGGCTTCTGGGGGTATCGTTTTTTTTTTTTCTCCCTCTGTATCGGTTTACAATGGTTTTGGCCTGCGAAACAAGTTAAGGGACGGCCCCTTACATAACGAAAAGGCGCGGGGTTGTTTTTTCAGCCCACATGAGTTGATGGCCTGCAATGGGAAGTGGCAACCTAGCAAGCCCTTGCGCATCCCGAGACCCCAATCACAAAGTTGTGGCTTCCAGTTCTTCAAAACCATACCGGTATGATCGGGTCAAGCCGGCATGGAAGGATCCCACATCCCCCCACCAAGTCTCAAGCTCGGCTGGTTCCAAGCCTCGGCGAGGCAGGGCTAGGGGTCATAGCACAGGTCATAGCACAGTTTGATCTTTCAAAGTGGGAGGCTGCCAACATTCATTCAAATCAAGATGCTTAACATGCCTCTTGGATATTAATCGGCTTCATGATCAAAAGCATGTGGTACCTCCGATACGGAAAACAAAGATAAGCCTGTTTAGCTGTTTAACCGTTGAAGAAACAGCGCTCTCACAACGTAGCTGGCAATACTTGCATCTGCATTTTTCGAAATACGCTGCTCTAAACTCAGCTGCGCACCGAGCTCCAGTGCTGCCGGTGCTGCCGGTGTTGCCGGTGCTGCCGGTGCTGCGGAAGAGCTGCCGCTACCGGACGCGTGGCCTTGTCACCGGCCACGGCATGCCGCCTTTGTGACAATGCCTGGGGGCTCTTGGTCCAAATGCACGGCCCCCTGGGCAAAAGGTCAACGAAAGGGCTACAGTCTGGACAAGCCACCCACCACAAAAGCCCACCAGCAAAGCCTGCAGCCATCAATCCCAAGTGCCCTGCTCCAGTATCTTGGATAAGGCACCTAAGCAAGTGCAACAGGCAGCACTGTCTCCAAGACTACAAATTTGCCAGAGCCCGCTTCCCCAAACAGACTGGAGTGTGGAATGCCAACAAAACCTCAGGGGCCGAAAGGAATTGCTTGCAAGCAGCGAACTGCATTTACGTTGGCTTTGCCGGTCCAATCATGAAACAAGATAATATGGCATATTGCTAGGCATGACCATGACTAGGTAAGTGCGCGCACACAAACATCTGGCTTGGGATAACCATCAAAATTCAGCGATGGCTTGTTGTGTCAAATTGTGGCGGACAAGTAAAGGAACTGCCCGAGGCCCTTT